TACGATCTTTACCCCCTATCCTTCAAACTTATAAGCTGATAGATTGCAGGTATGGGAACCTACGTTTGCACCTCTGTTGGTGTCCACAGCAGCTTCGGCAAGATCATGATGTCTGTACGGTACGATATCGAAGCTACACCTCTACAAAAGAAGCTTGAACGCCTTGCCATCGCCATCGCCAAGCTCGGTGGAGGTGCATCGGCTCTGATGTTCTTCATCCTGCTTTTCAGATTCGTTGCCAGTCTTCCTAGTGATGACCGACTGCCTGCTGACAAGGCATCGACTTTCATGGACTTGCTTGTCGTTGCTATTGCTATCATTGCTGTAGCTGTACCTGAAGGCTTGCCGCTGGCCGTCACTCTTGCCCTCGCGTTCGCGACAACGAAGCTTCTCAAGGAGAATAACCTCGTTCGCGTACTACGATCTTGCGAAACCATGGGTAACGCAACGACAATCTGCTCGGATAAGACAGGCACTCTGGTATGATTCGTTCTTCCTGATATGAACCGAGCAGCAACTGACAGTGTACAGACAACAAACAAGATGACGGTCGTGGCCGGCACCTTCTCCACCACTAGCTTCACTGCATTGTCCCAGTCCGACAATGAGAAGACATCGGGGACACCTCACGTCACTACATGGGCCGCTGGCTTGCCTACAGGAACCAAGGAACTTATCGTTCAGTCGGTTGCTGTGAACTCCACAGCCTTTGAGGGTCAAGAGGATGGTCAGGCAACTTTCATCGGATCTAAGACCGAGACAGCACTCTTACAGTTGGCGAAAGATCACCTTGGTCTTCAGTCCCTTGCTGAGGCCCGTGCCAACGAGCAAGTCGTGCAGATGCTTCCCTTTGATTCCGGAAGGAAGTGTATGGCCGCGGTCATCAAACTTCGCGACACCTCGAAGGGATATCGTGTGCTGGTCAAGGGTGCCTCTGAGATTATGCTTGGGTACTGTTCATCTAAGACTCAGCTGGAGACTTTGACTGAAGAGCCCATGACGGTCACCGAGCGACAATCTCTCGAATCAACCATCAACGAATACGCTCGACGATCCCTTCGGACCATTGGCATCGTGTACAAGGACTACCCCCAGTGGCCGCCTGCAAACATGCTTTCAGAAGATGGACACGTCAAGCTTGAGTCTCTACTGACGCCTTCTGACCTAGTGTTCCTCGGCATTGTTGGAATTCAAGATCCCGTCCGAGAGGGTGTTCCCGAGGCGGTCAGGCTTGCGCAGCATGCTGGCGTCACAGTCCGTATGGTCACTGGCGACAACATCGTCACCGCTCAAGCTATAGCCACAGAGTGCGGGATCTTCACCGGCTCTCAGGGAGTGATTATGGAAGGACCAGCTTTCAGGAAACTTTCTGATGAGGACATGAATAACATTCTTCCCAAGCTACAGGTATTGGCTCGTTCGTCTCCTGAAGACAAGCGGATTCTCGTGACGAGATTGAAAGCTCTCGGAGAGACGGTCGCTGTCACAGGTGATGGTACGAACGATGCTCCCGCACTCAAGGCCGCAGATGTTGGCTTTTCGATGGGCATCTCAGGTACCGAAGTGGCCAAGGAGGCTTCCGCAATTGTTCTCATGGATGATAACTTCGCATCGATCGTGACTGCACTCAAGTGGGGTCGCGCAGTCAATGATGCCGTTCAAAAGTTTCTTCAAGTAAGTTCCTAATCGATCGAGGCGACTAGTCACCTGGCTGTTGCCCCCAGTCACTCAAATACGCATCACCAGGTTGCTAAATGTTCACGATATAGTTTCAAATTACCGTTAACATCACTGCTGTCCTCTTGGCGTTTATCACAGCCATGTATGACCCTCATATGGAGCCGGTGCTGAAAGCTGTTCAATTGCTTTGGGTCAACCTCATCATGGACACATTTGCTGCGCTCGCACTGGCAACGGATCCTCCGACCGACAAGATTCTCGACCGGCCCCCTCAAAGAAAGGATGCACCACTTATCACGATCAACGTAAGCCTTTCTCCGTTGCTGAATCCTGCAAACACAGCTGACAGCCAACTTTAGATGTGGAAGATGATTATTGGACAAGCTATTTTCCAGCTCATCATCACACTCACCCTTTACTTCGCCGGCCCCGAGATTCTCAACTACGACAGAAATAGCGAGGATCAAATGCTGCAACTCGATACGGTCATTTTCAACACCTTTGTCTGGATGCAAATCTTCAACGAATTTAACAATCGACGCCTCGATAACAAGTTCAACGTGCTCGAGGGTGTCCATCGCAATCAATTTTTTATTTTCATCAACCTCCTGATGGTTGGTCTTCAGGTGGGAATCGTATTCATTGGCGGTCGCGTGTTTGAGATCAAGGAGGGTGGCCTCAACGGAACCCAGTGGGCCATCTCCGTCGTGATCGCCCTCATGTCTTTGCCATGGGGTGTGCTGGTCCGTATTTTTCCGGACGTCTGGTTTGAAAGAGTGGCTGTTTTCGTCGGAAAGCCTTTTGTACTGGTGTACAGATTCCTCGGGAGAATGTTTGCGCCTGTTGGCCGATTGTTCAAGCGAAAGCAACGAGATGCTACCGCAGCAGATGAGGAAGTACCTGCTACAATTATTGTCGCCCCACCCGAGGAAAAGGGGCAGCAGCTTTGATGAAACCCCCATAAGCGGGAAGTGGCATGGCATGGCATGGTAGAGTAAGGCACGGAAAGACCTCTATCACAGAGGCGACATCTATTGATTTGCATGGAATGTTTGAGCGGTATTTTCGTGGCATCCTTCAAGGTGTCTTTCTCATGGAGTCTGATCCTCGGATGGGAGACTCACTTCACGTTGGATATTTGGAACATACAACGACTGAAAAGACTGTCGCTACATATAAGTAATCGTAAAAGAAGAAATAGTAAAATTTCGCCTGTTACCTCCAAGAGTGCATATTGTTACCAATTCGAGTCTCAATCGTTTCAAGTTCTGAATTTAGGAATTGGTATCTTCGAAGGTTTAGCATCCTCGTTTAACAATGCATGAGGTGCTCACATAGTGTCTTTGCACCTAGGTAGACTCAACTCCAACTGATGACAATAGATTTCTGGACGGAAATAGATATTCTAGCTCCTGTCTCTGAAAATAGTTGATGTAATTACGACTTTTCACAGCACGAAAATTAAGTCCATCAACCAACTTGCCCTACACCATCTTGAGAAAAGACGCATTATAGCGAATTTGGATAACCTTCGCTAACAAATAACAGACAATGCGTACTCTAGGAATTTTCGACCCCTTTGACGACCACGGGGAAACTTCCGGTGGAAACGAGGTCGTCTGCGTTCCAGAACAGAAGATAGGTGTCTTCCCATTCAGATGGCTTCGCCCAGAATTGCGCTTCCAGCTGTGAGTTATTGTTGTACACCAGCTGTGTCGCAAAAAGCGCCCACCCATAGGTAGTTTGGTTAACAGTGACTGCCTGAGGGGTTTGAGTAAGACCCATTGCATTATCTTCGCTGTCGGTGATGGTCAAAGAGCCAGCAGATGTTCCGTTCACGAACGTGCCATTGACCTTCCAGTTCTCACCCGTGATGGACGGAAGATCCCAAGTGATCGGGACTAGGTTGGCATTGGCATCGTCAGGGGTCTGAGTGATGTACAGATATCCTGTGTGGTGAAGTCAGCAACGCTTGTTGTTACCCCAAAACTTGATTTATACGGATGACTGGAATACATACCGTCATCCAATCCATAAGCAATAGGCCATGAAGATGAGTTCGTTCCGTAAGCGTAAAGTGTTGCGTTTGTTTCGGCCTTTCGCTTGACATTGACGTTCCACGAGGGAGAGATGGCTGAGGCACAGATGAGACCGGCCTGCAGGAGAGCGAGAACTCCGACCTTGGACAAATTCATTTTGGTAACGACTGAACTAAAGGTAAGAGCCTTTGGCAAGATCGGGGCTGAGGGGACAGGAATGCGGCCGGGTTAAGTCAGAAATCCAGCAACGAAGAACGCGGAGCACATAGATGTCGATTCACACAACAGAGACTTTCCAGGTTGGCGTAATCCTTAAAGACCGCGGTGTTCACCACTTACACCCAACCCACTAGGAGATGCTAAGCATTGCCCCCCACATTGCCGATTTTGAGATGCCGCTTGCCCGGTGATCGTCGTTGGTTCTTTTGGCAAAGAGGGGCAGTTCCGAGCTCGTAAACGCAATCGAAGCCCACCATCGGGAAGCACAGACAGCAAAATAAACAAGTCAGAGTTGTCAAAGTTGTGGGTTTATTCCTGACTAGGAAGGCTCTGATGTTTTTACCCCTGGAGAAATGGGGCCGTTCCGGGATCCTTCATCTGAAGTTCTGTTGCGGCTGTCATTCTTCCAACGTTGCGGGTGCAGGTCAGCCTTATTGCATGGCTTAAGGTGAGTGGCTAGATCCATCACCACCCGCATCTCATTTCACGGTGAATCAACCATAATGCCCACGGCCACTCTGGAAATAGATATCCCCATCTGACCCGTCCTCACAGCCCCACCGATGCAGGCTTTCTTCTCACTTCACTGGCAGGTTTGACGTGTAGTCGACGTGTAATCTATCGCGGCCTGCTGGGCTGAGGAGGTTATCCCGGTGCGGAATCACCGTACTATGTGGGACAACTTAGTCTCTGCGAGGCAGAAACTCTGTTTGCACCCACAAGACGACAGTCGTCTTGCTCCGCAAGACGCCCAAACCGACGGCAAAATCCGTTTTTTGTTGTTGCTCACCAAAGCCCACATCCCGCATCATGAAAGGCGGAGTGGTTCAATTGTCCAAAGAATTGCGAAGAGAGGGATGGAGACATCAAATATTTAGAGTTGTCCCCAACTTCTCAGTGGCCATCGAAACCTAAAAAGATATAAATGAGACCAGCAGACGGGGCAGATTTCATTGTGTTTTCTCAACCACTTCTTTTCTTTAATCGTTGACTTCAACACTCGTTTCTCACTGTTTCGGCTGTGGGCTAATAGTCTTTCGTTGTTTCTTACTTGATATCACAATGGTTTGCGGGAAGCTTCTCGCCACTTGGGCAGTAGCTGTCGTTACTGGTGCCACTGCGGCTTGTACATCAAACAGACACCAGACCGCCGGTGATTCTGCTGACGTATCCCCAGTCACCGAGGCTGTTGCCAGTTCAAGCTCGCCTAGTTCATCTGGCTCGTCTGGTTCGCCTAGCTCCGGTGCCGCGTGCGTCAATAGTCCTTCGAACAGAGCTTGCTGGACAGAAGGTTTCGACCTATCTACAAACTACTACGATGAGGTCCCGGATACAGGCGTAGTGAGAGAATATTGGTTCAATGTTGAGAATGGCACAGCCGCTCCAGATGGATACGAGATGCCAGTGCAGCTCATCAACGGATCATTCCCCGGCCCAACCATTATTGCTGACTGGGGTGACACTGTTGGTACGTTATCACATACAGGGACACCAGCCTGTTCTTGATTTGAGGGGCTAACACTGAATTTTGGCAGTTGTCCACCTGAAAAACTCGCTTCAGACAAACGGTACCGGTCTTCACTTCCATGGTATCAGACAGAATTGGACGGATCAAATGGATGGTGTCCCTAGTATCACCCAGTGCCCCATTGCCCCCAACGACACTTACACCTACAAATGGCGAGCTGTTGAGTACGGCACCGGTTGGTATCACTCTCACTTCTACGTTCAAGCATGGGATGGAGTCTTTGGTGGCATCACTATCAACGGACCGGCTTCGGCAAATTACGACGTCGACTTGGGTCATCTCTTCCTCAACGACTGGTATCACGTGAGTTGAATGCTTGGACTGTTTGGCAAGAACTCAAGAACTCAAGAACCCTTGATTGACTTTTTCATCCAGCAAACGGCAGATGAACTCGTTACCAAAGCTGCTACGGGAGGTCCCCCCACAGCAGTCAACGGTCTGATCAACGGCACCAACACCTTCAACGACACCATGGGCTCTAGATTCGAAACAATTTTCGAACCCGGAACTAGGTACCGCCTTCGCCTAGTCAACGCCGCCGCAGATAATCACTTCCGTTTCATGATCGACAATCATACCATGGAGATTATCGCAACAGATTTTGTCCCCATCGTCCCGTACAACGCCACGCAATTGAGCATTGGTATGGGCCAGCGCTACGACATCATTGTGGAGGCTAAGGACCTGACCGACGGCGACTTCTGGCTGCGATCCATTGCACAAGAGTCCTGCTCCGAGTCTGATGCTGTTGACGATGTCAAGGGTATCATTCGTTACTCCAACTCTTCCACCTCGGATCCCACGACCTCGGCTTACAGTTACACTGACTCATGCTTGGATGAGGCATCCTCCAACCTTGTGCCTTACCTCGCCATCAACGCGTCTGACACTTACATCAGCGCAGATGAGAAGGTTGCCGTTGAAGTCACAGACAACGCCCTCCTCTGGACGATGAACAAGACTTCCATGCATACCCAATGGGAGTACCCCACCGCCATGCAAATCTCGCAAAAGAACTCTACTTGGCTCACGAAGCAAAACGTTATCCACCTGCCTGACGCTGACAAGTGGGTGTACATGGTCATTCACTCGCCTTTTGCTCAGGACCATCCCATGCACCTTCACGGCCACGACTTCTGGGTTCTCGACTCTGGTTACGGTAACTTTGACAGCACTCAGACCGATCGTCTGACCTTGGTAAACGCTCCCAGAAGAGACGTAGCTATGATGCCAGGCAGTGGATATTTGGTCATCGCATTCAAGACGAATAACCCTGGTGTAAGTACCTCTTCGATCACATTAAATTGCCTCCAGATCTTCAGACCACTGACTGCCGTCCGATTTAGGCTTGGTTGATGCACTGCCACATTGCTTGGCACACCTCGGAGGGTTTTGCCGTGCAAATCGTTGAGCGAGAGTCGGAGATCACCTATGACACGGATGTGCTGAACCAGACCTGCACCAACTGGATGAACTACGTAGTCCAGTCTGACTTGAATCAATATGATTCCGGTGTCTAAGGCTTGAGGCTAGTAATATCGAATGATTATGCGTGCTCAAGGGTCATAAAGGTCCATAATACAACGGGCAGAGAGGGCAGAAAACGTTTCATAATGTAATAGAAACTTTTCACTCAAGCACCTATCTATAAGGCTTGGACTACGTGTCGGTTGTCATGGCCTCGCTTGATGAATTCGCCCCACTCCCATGTACCAAAACCGCACGCTCGATACTTCAGTTGAGATCCGATGCCTTCATTACTTATGATCAGCAGGACCAAGAAGCGTGACGGATGTATAGAAAGTAGTGTCATGGACCAACGTGGGGTAGTGTCCATTACAGAGTATTACTAACTAACTCTCGAGTGAAGCTAAGTGAGCATTTATCAGCACGAAGTGGGCTGCCGCCTCTTGGATACTTACATCTGCAGCCTGATAACATATCTTAAGATATCACTATCATGCAGAACAACTCCGCGCCAATACTTGTTTGATAACATGACTTGGTTGCCTGTTCCTAGTATGGACACAAGTAAGCTTAAGACATCTCACAAGCAACTGTGTTGTTCCGCCATCGGCTGGCTCCAGTACGAGGCTTAGCGAACAACTCGTCCTGCTTCAGGTCTTCAGTGCCGACACCGAGCATTCCCCGCAACCCCTCAACTGCAGCGCTGCGCTATCAGCTGAACAAGATAATGATAGGATGGCTGTATCGGCATTCAGACGTTTTTGCCGCACCACGATCGGGAATAAGATGATATCTTCGGGTCCTTCTTTTCCGGACTGAGAGATAACGACTACCGGGCCCAACCAACACCCCAGTCACCTTCCTGCAATGGCATGGTTTTCGGCGCAACGCAGCATTTAATTCGTCTGAACAGCAACGGCCTGACGATCGCCACATACTTATCGAGGGCGCGAATGGGGATGTTCTCCAACATGCTGAACATCTCCACGCGATCCTTACACCCCATTAGATATAGGTGCGTCATAGACAGCCGTGATATCAGTAGAGGCGCTTCGACGGGCAGTCCCATATAACGATGGCAGAGCCACTCGTCCCTACTATTGCTACAGCCTGAAGTTCCAGCCGCGTCTCCTCATGCCATCACCATGAGCTCCGACGGAAAGATCGATGTCGAAAAGGCCACACGCTTTGGTGGTGGTCAGTCCGAAGTATTGGTCGGAGAGGTCAAGGACATCAAGAACGCTGATGCTGCGCTGGTATTTCTTCGAGACGGCGGGGATGTCACACCCATGACAGCGGAGGATGAGCGCCTCTTAAAGCGCAAGATTGACTGGCGAATCGTTCCCCTCATGTTTGCGTGTTACATTCTCCAGTATCTTGACAAAACCTTGATCAACTACGCGAACGTCATGGGGCTACAGAGCGACACCAATATCACTGGCGATCAATACTCCCAACTGGCCATGATATTCTACGTCAGCTATCTAGCATTCGAGTTCCCTCACGCTTGGGGCATGCAGAGATTCCCAACGGCAAAATACATTGGGATTATGGTCTGCATGTGGGGTACGGTGTTGGCAACTACATCAGCCTGCCACAACTGGGCCGGGCTAGTTGTGACGAGAGTCCTTCTAGGCGTTTTTGAGAGTGCTGTTGCCCCTTCACTCATCGTCATTACGACCATGGTCAGTTTTCATCGTATTTTCACGTGCTTGAATCCTTCTAATGTTTCATCTACAGTGGTACAAACGTCAAGAACAGCCTCCTAGGATGGGCATCTGGTATCTCGGCACTGGTGGCGGCACCATCGTCGGCTCCCTCATTTCTTTCGGTTTTCAGCACTACCATAGCTCCGGCTTTACCTCATGGCAGATCATGTTTCTCATCTGCGGCTTGATCACCATTGCTATCGGTATCACGGTAGTTCTGATTCTTCCGGATAATCCGATGAGCGCACGCTTCCTCTCCCGCGAGGAGAAAATTTGGTCTATCGAGCGATTAAGAAGCAACCAGACTGGCATCGAAAACAAGCGATTCAAGCGCGAGCAGGCGATCGAGTGTTTCACAGACCCACAAACCTATCTTTTGGCGCTCATCACCATCGCTTCAAATGTGCCCAATGGAGCCGTCTCCTCGTTTCAGGCCACCATTATCAAGGGGTTTGGGTACACGTCTAAGGAGACTGCACTTTTATCTATCCCTTCAGGTGCAGTCAGTATCGTCTCGATTCTAGCGGCTACCAACGTGGCAGGGAGATTCAATCAAAGAGCTATCAACATTATTTGCCTTCTGATACCCGGTGTCATCGGAGCTGCGCTGATGGCTTTCCTACCAGAGGACAGTAAAGCTGGTAAACTGATTGGAAACTATATGACGAATTGCATTGGGGCAACTTTGCCGTTGTTGTATTCTCTTGTTGGTGCCAACTACGCCGGTCACACCAAGAAGGTACGTGGGACTTTTTCTCGACAGTCTTTCTGTCAATCCAGAACTAATGCGTGAGGGCGTAGGTCACCATGAACGCCACTTTGCTCATCTGTTTCTGTGTTGGTAACATTATCGGACCCTTGACATTCACGGCTGAGTCTGCGCCCGGATACCTCCCAGCCAAAACAGCAATCATCGTAACCTGCGGGTTGGCGATGATGTTCACGTTGATGCTAAGGTACTATTACATATGGGAAAATAAGCGACGGGATAGATTTGTTCAAGCAGGAGAGCTTAGCCACTTGAAGGATGTCGAGTTCAGCGATATGACTGATCGTATGAACAAGGAGTTTAGATACACCCTTTGAGGTTATCTTTACCTTGACAATGACTGATGTAGTTAAGACGACGGCACGAGGCTCTGGGGGCATATCTACATTTGGAAATGTACATGCAGAGTTTGCAGAGAACCTTTGAATATCAAGCAGCTTTCTGCATGCGCATTTACTTTAAGCAAGAGCTTTCGCAGGAGGAAGTTTGTGTCGTAATACGACGAGCTCTTACGTAACTTCCTAGCCTGCCCAACGTCTTCTGGAAAGGTCATTCGATCTATACTTTATATTGGCCTTTTGGTAGATGCCAAGACTCAAGAGAATCCGAGGCGATGAGGTGTCAATGATTCGCTCATGAGAAGCTGGGTGTGAGTACATAAGTTCGGCCTAACATCACGCGATTCAATTGATTACCAAAGCTAACCACGAAAGTACGCGGGTTGAATTCTTCGTACTTGGAATCTGGATAGTTTGGACTTAGAGTTTGAATCCTCCGGTCCTGTTATGGAACAGGTCCTCTGGATCAACCGAAGCCCGCACTCTTTCCGCCAACTCTCTCTTCTCTGGCTTCAATCTTCCCCAGTAGTCTTGTCGAAAGTATCCATCGTTCATGAACAGGGGCCTGTAGGCGTCTGGAAGAGTGCCGTCTTGGACAAATCCATCAACACGAGACTTCATACCAGTATACAGTTTGACCATGGTATCATCAACTGCAGCGTCATCCAGTTGAAACAAGTAGGAGTAATCAAACTCGAAGATGATTCTGTCGAACCCATCATCAAGATCCAGCAGATCGCCACCTCTCTCTCGGCTGATCCGGGCTAGTGACTTCGGTATGGGCTGAAAAGCCATCGAGGCAATGATCCCAGCTACTCCTGACTTTACAGCTGACGTGTTGTACCAATGGTCATAGTAAGATCGCATCACCTTTGCGCCTGCTGCAGCTGGCGGAAGAGGTGTCGTCTCCGTAGCGATAGTGTAAACACTACCTTTCAAGACGAAGACGTTGTTCGCTTTGAGCAAGTCGGTGTAGGACCTCGTCTTACAAGTGTTGAGCGACGATTGGATATCCAAGAATTCGTCAAATACTCCAGATGGAGGCTGTGGTCCGTCGTAGAACAGAAAGAAGATCCAGATGTTGACGCTGTTCAATACAGTCAACTCTGAAGTTGCGATGATGGCTGCCTTTGGATCATGATAATTCTCAGTAAAGTTTCGAATCGCCGCGAGTATCTCATCTGTTTTGTCGCCGCCAAATACCAAGTTTCCGCCCCATATCTGCCCCTTGTATTAGCAGATTCTGTCACCAATGGGAAGTCGCTGGTTGAGGGACCAAAGCACTTACCTGTCCTATTGCATGCGCTTGCAAGTTATACCTTGTTACGATTCCGTACGCATTGCCACCTCCTTTTATGGCAGCAAGAAGGTCCGGATTGGAAGTATTGGAAGCGGTGACTATCGATCCATTCGCAAGTACCATCTCCGCTGACACTATGTTGTTCGATGCCCAGCCGTATTGAGTGCTGAGAAAACTGAGCCCCCCTTTGAAGAACGTTAGATACCTCATTCCATGCAGGCGCCAAAGTTGAACATCAAGATACCTCCTAGAAGATAGCCACCCACGCCGACATTCCCGATGCGGCCCCCAACGACAGTCACTCCAGTTCCCTCGAGAGCTTCGTGAACCTCTTCCCATTTGTTTCCGGGACCGACGCTGACCGTGTTATTCTCCTTGTAGTACACGACTTCCTTTAGCCCTTTTGTAGAGATCAAAGGGCCACCTTGCACGCTTGCAAAGTAATTGTTCGGGTTATGTCCTCCCGACTTAACAGCAAACTGTTCTTTGTTATTAAGCAGGGCCTTGACAATAGCTGAAACCTCTGTAGCACTCGTTGGAACCAGGATACAGTCTGGCTTCAGGTTGCTGCAAGCAGTCGACCTACTGGCGATTAAAATAATTCAGCGCTGGATCAATGAGCCTACCAATAGTTTTGTTGTTCCTGGGTGTACTCTATCTCAATCCCCTGGTATTGTTGGATCTTCGTCGATGCGGATAGCTGTTGACACGTCGCAGATAGAGACTCAACGCATATTGCCAACCCTAAACACACGAAGAGCGTCAATAGCCTTGATGAATCAATGTTCATGACGGGCAGGATGACAAGAGTGCAAAGTCAGTGATGCAAAAGTCTTGCGAGCGTAGTCTGGAGGAGGGGCACGAGAGTCCTATTTAATGTAAATACTCTAGACACATCATGTAACAAGCACAGCTGAGGTCAGATGGGTCTTCCCTCTGCATGTACCAATCAAAATTTCTGAGATGCGATTGCTGTCAAGTTGGACACCTTCCGTAAATGTAGAAATTGGGGCGCCACGATGCTGCTTTAGATGGCATCGCTTGTCAAGTGGATCAGACGATGCGGTCGCATAAGTGCTGACAATCACACACCTTCTTATCCAGCCACATCGACTACAATAGGAAATCACATCGGCAGGCTGCTCGGTTCAAAGATGCTAGTGATTGTTCAAAGGCTCTGAGTTTCGTATTTTCGGCTGTGACTTTTCGCGTACTCGTGCTTTTCGGAAGTCCACACAACCTCGCGATGAAAAGCCAAATGTTGAGGGAACATCGCTGTACTCAAGTTTCAGCTCTACATGAAAGCTGACCCTAAGCGAGTGGCATTCTACTCAGACTATTGAACGGTGTGGATAGCTGATAGGAGCAGTCGTTACTTTTTTCTTCGCTGGCAACATCGATCATTCGTCAATGCCTGGTGTCATGGATTTTGTCTCCATCCACTGCAAAGTACAAAACCTTCCTCTGCCCTCCTGCAGGTGAACCTGTGATCTTCTAGAAGGTGATAGGACGCTGATACATTGGTGGACACCTTGGGCATCAAGAATCAATAGACATCAATAGGCGTGGGGGAGTGTTGCAACGCAGGAGGTCCGAAGCCACCTACCTACCCTGTGTGTGGATCCGTTGGTGGTGTGCTGCGTGACTGTGTGACATGGCCCAATGAATGCTTCGATTGTTGAGCTATTCACCGCAGTGCATGCGGAAGTCGGAGTCGCGGCCTAGCGAAAATCACAAAGGATGCTGCAGGCTTATTCATGTAGGATACCTAGATGAGAGGCCATGTTTCTTGAGAACATGGAGTTACATCTACCTCCCCATTTAGCGAGCTGACCATACGTAATGATAGCGATGGCCCCTCGGTGTAGTCGCCTGGGGGAATCCTTGGCTATATTGATTCAATAACGTGCTTCTCCGCTTACTGCTGCAGGTGTACCAGACAAAGATATGTCCATTATTGGCGTCCACTCACGATGACCAATTCGAAGGTAGCAGCACTAAGAAACAGCGACCTCGCCTCTAATTTACGTCCAATCACCTTTAGTCCAATACAGAAGTGGTGTCCAAATTCCGGATCCGCCAAAATACCACGAATATTTTCGGACTGTACATGTTTAGGTCCCATGCGATACCATCCACAAAAAAAAAAAAAAAGAGAAAGAAAACGCATCTCCGTGTTGTTGATGTCGCCGTCTGTGAAATCCAACGATCATTTCTAGGCGCACTCCCAGCTGTCTGCCAAATCAATTTCGCCGGTAACGTAACGAGCCTTGAGAGGGTAAGGACAAATAGGTCTCTGTCTGACTATTCCTCGAAGGACATTGTGGCCACCAACTTCTGAGGTGCAATACCCTCTTCAACCCATCGCATGATGGCATAAATTCCGTTATGGTCGGCATCGTCGCTGCCCGGCACGCCATGGGTAGCTCCGCCAATCGTCGAAATACCGGTGTACCAGGGCGCGGCGGTGCTACCAGTACAATGAAAAAGACCCGGAACCAGAAACATACGGTAAAAGTTGTCAAGATTGATCTGCATAGCTTTGTAAACTTCCTCGTAAAAGTATATGCTTGCCCCGCAGCTGATTGTGTCATCTGCAAGGCCATGAAGATGGATCAGCTTGCCACCGCGGTTCTTGAAAGCAGATAGATCGTATTTATCGGCAGTCGAGTTGCCGGGGTCAATGGTATCAATCAGCTTCACGGTGTTGAAGTCGAAACTTCGCCAGTCCCAGTCTGTGTCGTTCACCACCATGTTGATGACGTATTGTAAGCCGATCGCAGATGGCTCCTCCGTGCCGCTCGCTACAAACGCAAGACTTGACCCCAGTGATGGCTTGGGAAATACAAAAGTTTGATCAACTTCGACATAATCGCTTGTCAACTGGCGGAGAGTATTGATCTGCTGCGGCGTCAAGCAGCTTGAGGCGTTGTTGTTTGTTGAGGTGCAGAGCATGGCTTCAGGGCGGAAGTCGCAGGCGTAAGGATCCATAACGATGGAGTCCGTGATCCCGTCCTGTGGATCACATTGCTTGATCATCTCAGTCAAGATGAGCTGCAGCAGAGAGACTAGAATGTGTTTCGGATCATCAGATGGCAAGTTGAGAATGCCTCTCTGCACGCCTGCTGCACCAAGGCGGGTTGTCCACCAAGCTGGCGCGTTCACAAGAACGCCGTCAAAGTCCTCGGGAAATTCCTGCACCTCCTTAAGACATTGGCGGCCTCCAGTTGAGCAGGCAACGTAATAGGAATAATCCGGTACAGATCCATAGTACGCAGTTAGGACCGCCTTGGCCACAACAACTGAGCCGTGCATTGCACGATATCCCCAGTCGATCATGGCCTCTGGATTGTTCAGGGCCCAAGAGGTGTCACCGAACCCAGAGATGTGTCCTGTATCGGTTGACATGGATGCAAACCCGTACTGAGAGAACATTCCCATGTATGCCCAGTTGGTAAACCCGCCAAAGCCGCCGTTACCAGTGGCCATGAATCGTGGGTTCCAATTGGTGGGCATGTAAAGGGCGAAGTTGTAGGAGGAAGTAGCAGATGAGATGAGATTGACACCGACTGCGCATCCTTGTGGCAACGCAGTAGCATTTCCAACGGCTGCTCTGTCGCCAAAAGTACCATTCTCGGCGACAAAGTTGACATAGTTGATGGATACACCAGGAGGTAAAACCTCTGTGATCGATTCGAGGGAGCAACGGGAAATGTCAAGATTTCGAGCCTGACAATGGGCAAATGAGAATCCAGTAAGGAATAGAAAATAGAGGTTGATCATGTTGTAACCGGAGAAGAAGAAGAGGTTTGCTGTGAAGAAGGAGCGATATGTCTTAATTACAAACCTTTGATTAGAGTCGTATATATATACTTATGCTCCCAGAGCCAAGTTACTTGACTTGATGCCCGTGAGGCTGTGTTTTGCAAATCGGAGCTCGCCGTTGCGGTGGTCAAAACACCCGATCGGTACCATCCTGGCACCGATGCCGACTTTAAGGGATCTGGTTAATTTGACGTCGTGCTTGGCAGCTGCGTGGCTTCCCTCATTTCTCCCCTCTTGAGCACCTCAGAACTCATTCTCTCACGTGGTCGCTGTCTTGAGCCCTGGCTTTAGTCTCTACTTTTCCCCTCATTCTCATTATTCTTCTTCGGCTCATTACTGATCCACTGTAAGTACTGAATTTGATCTTGCTTTACCTCAAGGTATATATAGTTACGTTGCAGTATCAAGTTTTTTTTGGGGGGGTTTTTTTTTTAAAAAAGATAAAAGGAAGGAAGGAAGAAAGGATAGAAAGCCTTGGATTTAGTTTCAGCTCAGAGTTACGTGCAGTCAACGCACACGCCGATGTGCTTTTCCAGCAAAGCTACAACGCTGCAATCTTAAGCATGGTTATAAGCCTTGGTGGCTTCAGAAAGGCGCCAGGTATCCGCAACGCTGCGGTTCGTCCTAGAGCAGTCTATGTGAGTAAAACAGAGCCTACATCACACCACGTCAATTTCTTCTCGTTTCCCCTCACTCATACCGATAACGAACTGGCTGTCCGCAGAGTCTCATCTTTCATCCCGAGTATTGCCGTGACGGAGTGCGTCCGGATGATCTGACTCCCACTCCACAGCAATGCGCTGCTGTCCTGATGCATGTACTTTGCGAGCCTGAATTCGGGGACGGAAGTATGGTGGAGACGAAGTTGGTTGGAAGCAAGGATGATAACTCCGTTAGCGTCAGGGAGGTAATCGCCACTGCATCTGAGCTATTCCACAGCCGGACCGGTGGGACAGAACAACCACCTGGTTGGAGAGGAGGTTAAGATAGCCAAGAAACCCAAAGAGATTGGCATGAGGGCCTCATATATCTGTGGTATGGGTAGAGAATGATCCTGACTGTATTACCGAGTGCAACCAGTGCACGGTTCTCCCAGGTTTTACAACCGATTGCGCTGCGAGGTGATCTATTCGGAAAACACATACTAGAGTGCCTTGGACGTCAACATTTACATCGAGGATATGGGTTCAAGAGGATTAGGCGGCGTGCATGATGTGGACCCAACCTAGGGCGATAAAGTTGCCGTCACGGGCTGTAACTTCTCTGCTGCTGTCAGACCAGAGCCAGAATTAGATCTTCGCATTTCAAGACTCCCGTTCGTGAGCACCATTCATGATGAATCCCTAATCATGATCTATAGTACTCCACGGGAACCTCTTGCCCAGTCCCGGTTTTTACTTGTGGGTCGTGATAGGCTTAGATCACTCGAAAGACCACACTCAACCCCAACTCCACCGCACTAAGTCATATTGAAGCTCATTCGATTGCCGCACTCCCCAACGCTCCACAACAAGCAGAAATATCCCATGCCTCGAGATTATAGATGCTTTCCCTGCCGGTCATCCGCATCCACAACAGCTCCAGTGGAATCTGGGCTCCTGGAAGGGTGGCCGAGTTGGTTATGGCGCCAGGTTAAGGTCAGCTTAACTTCTGTTTCCTGGTGGGGCAACCCGCGCGAGTTCGAGTCTCGTCCCTTTCAACATTGTCTTTTACTTCGCCCATTGATTGTGCATTATCTTACGTTGGAAAATTATCCTCCTTTTTGTCTGCAGGCTGCTGGCTGATGAGGATAGTACTTGCGACAATCTCTGTTAGTAGTTGGCTTTCAGTATGTAAGGTAGCTCATACAAGTGTTTAATACATCATGTTGGTGTTTTTGGTCAAGCATGCGCGAGATGTATCTAATGAGTACCATGTAGCCGGAATCGCAATACTGCTTTAATATCTAGCATCAACTACTCAGAGACTCGGACTACGTAGCATGTTACTGGTAATCAGACATCTCTTTCGAGGCACACTTTCTGGCCTAGTCAGTACTCATTGTGAATCAGGAGTCCTTGTTCACTTCTCGGTATATCTCACCGTGAAGAGCTTCAGTCTCCAACGAACCCCTGGGTCTGTGGGTTCGTGCAGCTGATCCGATTTCATCCCCCGCTGCCGCTTAAAATAGAGTTCACAGCGTGTATCAGCACGGCCTCGCTGGATTCGAAAGGCCGAACCATGACAAAGTCAAAATACTGTTACACCGAGTAATGTAGCATGCAATTCAGGATAAAGGACAGAAATCCCACTTCATCCCAAGGTCTGATATCTCCTCATCGTGTTCTTCGTCCAGCGGCACGCAGGAAAAAAAAAAAAGAACGCTGCACACCCATCCATTTTTGACTTCAGACAACCAGTTACTTTGGGCAGAGAACTAAGAGCAACCTGAAGCCACAAGATCCTCATTGACATCGAGGCACAACTGCCGAGCTTCCCCGCGTTACCAGCCTACGCTAAGACGGTCAAGACTAGGATCACCATCGCAGGGCTTCCATATCTCCGAAACAACATGGGCATCCTCCTACAACCTCTCGTTGACTACCATCCATGGAACCAGCTTGGAACCTTGACGACACTATTACTCGCTTCTCTCGGTGCTGTAGGACTTTTGGCTTGGCATTTCCGCGAAGATAAGCCGTACGCGGGCTTCAAATTGATCGGCAAAGAACGAGGAGAATGGTCATATGAGAAGGCGAGAGAAAGATGGAACAACAACGCCTTCGAGCTCTTGCGGGCAGGATTCAAAGAAGTATGCTGAAATTGACTTCAATCTTTGAGAATTCACGATATTGACCTGAGACCGTAGACACACGGCCGGCCATTTCAGGTGATATCCCCGTTTGGTCCCTTGGTGATGCTACCTCCGAGTCTATGCGACGAAGTTCGGAATGACAAACGCTTAACATTCACCGGGTTCATCGACCGAGTAAGTCTGTAGAATAGGAAACTTTGAATTGACCAAATGTCAGGGCCTATGAGCAGAATTCTTCTAACCTCGGCGGTCATAGCAATGGCTCACGCGGTATCCCGGCTTGGATATCCTGCAAGATGGGCTTAGGGGAGAAATCATACAAGAAGCCATGCGGAAGAACCTCAACCAAGAACTGAGTAAGTGAGCTCCTCGAAACAGCGAGAGACAGGCAAAGACATCAAAAGCGCCAATGCTGATCGGTATTTCAGTGTACTTGACGGAGCGACTCCGCGAAGAGGCGTCTCTCATCCTCAGAGAACAACTCCCGTCAAGCAAAGAATGGCAAGAAGTCAAATTCTTTCCCGTGGCCACTCAACTTGCTGCACGCTTATCTGCAAAGATCCTCCTCGGGGATCGTCTCTGTCGCGACAAAGAGTGGATAGCAGTCTCCATCAACTTCACCGGTGTCATTCTCCGCGCAGGCCGAGCTCTGCGCGCCTGGCCTGTTCTTCTCCGCCCACTGGTGCATCGCTTCGTGCCGACGCTGAAGTACCTGCGAAGTCAAATCACGCAGGCACGAAAGATTATGGAGCCGGAGCTTGCGGCGCGAAGGCTCGCGAGGGATAAGAAGGAAAGACCTATGGATTCATTGTCGTGGATTGACGATGTTCGGCGCGGACGAGAGTTTGATGTCGTCGCTGGGCAGCTATTTCTCACATTTGCGGCGATTCACACGACGTCTTCTGTGGTGACTGCCATATTGTATGATTTACTGGCGTATCCAGAGTATTTCACTCTGCTGAGAGAAGAGATTGTCAAGGTGTTTACCGAAGATAGGGGTTGGAGCAAGAACAGTCTGTTCAAGTTGAAGTTGATGGACAGCTGTATGAAAGAGAGCCAGCGATTGCACATATTGGGTCCTCGTAAGCACATTCGGGTCCTACCGCGAGGATCTTGAACCGAGGACCTGCTAACACGCCCTCTAGATATCATGAACCGCAGAGTCGAAGAGGCCATGACCCTCTCTGACGGAACCCACCTCCCAAAGGGCACCTTGATCACCGTAGCCACACACAACACCCGCGATACAGCACTCTGGGGACCCGAGCCCGAAAAGTTCGACGGCCACAGGTTCCTGCGTATGCGTGAAGAGCCGGGGCAGGAGAACCGGTGGCAGTTTGTCTCGACGAGTCCAGAGTTCCTCGCCTTTGGCCATGGAACGCACGCGTGCCCGGGACGATTCTTTGCCAGCAACGAGATGAAGATTGTGTTGGCGCATCTAATCATGTACTACGATTGGAGGATTGTGGAAGGAAAGCCCCCGGCAAGCATGTTCGTCAGTCGCTTTGTGCCGGATCCCAGGACGGTTATTGGGTGCAGGGCGAGGACCCCAGAGATTGAGCTGTGAGAGAGAGACAACACACGAGAAGCAAGACATGAATGAGCAGAAACGATTCAAAATTTACTCAACCACAAGGTGGACAAAAGTGTCGAGAAAAGCAAAAAGAGATTGCGTCAATCGCTGACGGGAATTGAGCCCGACGTGGCTAGGCAGAGTCAGTGGTGATGTTCCATGATCATCATGTGGCATTGAGCTATAACTTACGGGTCGAACCCACAACCTTGAGATTAAGAGTCTCACGCTCTACCGATTGAGCTAGCCGGGCGGATAGAATCCAATGGCTTGGTATGTTGCCGTGAGCAAGCCGGAATCAATCCATGGAGCCTTTGGTGGATTGGACCAGACGGGGTGGTGTATATTATTTTCACGGCCCATCTCTAGACGTGTTGTGTCTTTTGACAGGGTTACCGCGTTTCCGGAGGGTAGGGCTTGTTTGCTATGGACTCCGGTGCGGGTCCTGGAGATTGTTTGAGAGGGGCCGGACGAAGTCCCGGGATCAAGAGATCTGCCATGACACCAGCTTTTTACCTTTGCGCGAGTCGAGTAGTCAGTTTCCAGGCCGATGTGCTCTCAATTGGAGTTGGTGGACGGTCCGGTATGCAAAACGTGCCAGCTTAGCCTTCTTTTCCGTTTCAGACTGACAGACTGACAGACTGTCTGACTATCTGACGGAACACATTACAAATCCTCGAATTACAAGGAAAATACGTCCGAGTAGGATACATTCGAGTAGCTCGTTGTGCCAGGGCTCTTTGAGTTGCCTCATGGGTAGAAGTAAGTTGCTTTTACCTGGTAGGTGAGGTAGGGATGATGGAGTATCTCAACTCATGGGCTCTGGAAATTTGATGAACCACGACAGATGCGATGGCTCATTGTATCTGATCGAATCGATGAGGCATATCGCCGTGTTGTTCAGATTTGGCCGTCCTTACGTAAGAATCAAAGAGGGTGAAACTGTAGCAGCACGCGGCTGGCAACAAAAACACATCTGCTCAACATAGGAAAATTCATTTTGTAGAGTATATGCTGGTTATACACACTCGCAGACCGTTGTGGCCTGCCCGTTTTCATCCATTCCTTGAACCACCTTGCACCCCTTTTGCATACCGATACAGATTGAAAGCTGGAAAGCAATAACCACCGCTATTACCACATCGCCCACGAGCTCGTGTCTCCAGTCGAGACTCAGTGTCCACCTCCTCTGGCTCGCTTCGCACCAGCATTTCCGCCGGCCTCGGAATCTCCTCTAGGCCGCTTGTTACCAGGCTGGAAATCGTTGGCACCAGGGTTCAACGAGCCGGCATTTTGTCCTCCTCGGCCACCACCACGTCCGCCACGTCCTGCTAGACCACCTCTCTCTGCACCTCCGCTTGACACCCTATTTCCGGCAGCGTAAGCGCCACCCCGACCACGACCAGCTGCACCGCCTCGTCCTGGAAGAGGGATGCCACTCCTTTGGCCTGGGGCAGCCTGAGCCGGTGGTTGCGGTAGCCCATGACCTTGCGGTGCGGTCTGACCCGCCGGTGCCCCTTGTGTACTGGAAGCGAAGGGGTTCTGTTGCTGTTGTGGTGTTTGCTGCTGCTGCTGTCCTTGTGTACTCTGTGAGAACGGGTTGGCCTGGGCCGGAGTGCCATTAGCAGCACCGGCCGCGAACGGGTTCGCTGCAGCATTGTTGGCTGCCGGCTTGGTATCCCCAGGAGTAGGTATTTGTCTCTTCTGAGGGATGCTACTGCCCGGCGCAGGGATTCCGCTAGTAGCAGCCCCGGTTGATGGTTGTGCTTGGTTGGTTGAGGCTGGTGGGGCTTGAGGACGGTTAGAAAGAGTAGAGTTTGCACGTTCATTTGGAGTAACTCACCAGGTGTCGGGGCAGCAGCTTGGGCTGGTGTGGCAGCTGAGGGCGCCGAGATCGAAGGACGGGGTGCGGCGGGTTGTGCGTTGCCAGCGAGCTTCGCCGGGCTTTGCTGCGGCGCGGCGGGAGCTGGTTTGGCAACTTTAGCTTCCTCCCAAACTTCCCCAACGGGTCTTTGAGGTGTCTTTGTTGCGGCCGTGGACACGACTTCGATCTTGGCGTTGGCACCTCTGAGCTGATTGTCCTTCATGTTGATCTGCAGCGCAGACTTCTTCTGTGCCAGCAGCTGACCTTCCTCGCGAGCGTTTGCGATTCTCTGCTCGAACTCGGCCCTCATGCTCGTCTCTGTCTCGTTCTTAACCTTGGCAGTCTGTTCCTCGAGTTTCTTTCTAAGATTTCCCGACATAATGTTCCGCACGGTAGCATTGGTAGAAAGGAACTTCCGAATCTCGGCATCGGGGAGTTGAGATAGATCCGCAGCACCAGCAGGTGTACCGGTCATTGGCGTTGCCGGAGCTGCGTCCGGGTCTTGCTGCTTGATGGGCGTCGCAGGCACAGCCGGTTGTTCGCCCGCAGGCTTAGCAGGTGCGGCGCCTTGCTGCTCAGCCTTCCAAATGACCTTTTCTTGCTCTACCCTCGTGGCGAACTCGGCTTCCATCTTCTCGCGAGACTGGCGTAGCTTCTCATTGAGTGCGTTGCGCATCTTATCAGACCGCTCCTTGATGGTCTGGGTGATGTTCTCTTCGAGCTCCTTCGCCTTGCGGTCAGCCTCTGTAGCCTTGGCTTCGGCGGTAGCAATCTTCTCCTCCAAAGCCTTCCGCTCAGTGTCGGATAAGCCACTCGCGCCGTTTGTGGCAACAGGCTCCGCCGTCGACTGGGCGGCGGGCTGAAGCTGCGCCTGGGCAGCCTGCTGTGCAGCCTCGACAGCCTGGTCTCTCTCGGAGACGGCTGTCTGCAGTTGCGATCGCAGGGCCTCAAGCTCCTGCTCGGCGGTCGTCTTTTGGGCTGAGATGGCTTCCAATTGGGTTCGCATCTCGGCGAGTTGCTGCTCCAACTGGGCGACTACTTCCGAAGATACTGGTGGAGACCCGTCTGTCGTGGGTTGAGCGGCAGGAGGTGGCGCGCTAGATTGGTTGGCTTGAGCATCCTGCTGTAGCCTTTGTACCTGTTGCTGGAAGTTCTTGACTTGCTGCTCAAACTCCGCACGCTGCTGTGTTGTCGTCTGCAAATTCTGTCTTGTTGTCTCGAGCTCGGTGTTCATAGATTTGAGTTGCTGCTGCAGTTGTTCACGCTCAGCAATCGCAGCGTCCTTCTCCGTGACCGCCTCGTTCCGTGCACCAATTGCCTCATTCTTCTCGCCAGTGATCTTACGTGACCGCTCTTTGAACTGATCGGTCATGCGTTGGCGAGCGTTCGCCCAATTGGTCCTCTCCGTCTCCAATGTCTGCTTGATCTCCTCGAACTCTGCTCGCAGAGGGCCTTCAGACTCTTTGAGAGCGTCGCGCTCGGCCTGCAGATCATTGATGGTCTGCTTGAGTTGCTCCATCTCGGCGGGATCAACGCGGCCGTACTTTGTAAGGATGCCCTCGGTTCGCTTCTGCCACCTGTCGCGGTCCTCCTGAACTTGCTTGATTTCTTCCTCGAGGAAGCCCTTTTGAGTCTGGAGCTCCTCGATCCTAGCCTCCAGAGGCTGTACCTTGCCTTCCAATTCCTCGATCCTGGTGTTCTTCTCGGAGATTTGCGTCCGGGCGTGGGCGAGCTCGTTGCGGAGGGTGGCACTGCTCTCACGGTAAAGGTTGAGTTCGTTGAGTTTATCCATCAGATCCTTGTGAGCAACGGAGGCTTGACCGCTCTCAGCTTGTGAGCGTCTCTCCTGGTCGAGCTTCAACCGAGCCTCATCGAGCTGGGATTGGGAGTACTCGAGCTGTTGCTGCAGGCGTTTGGATTCCTGCACCTTGAGGTCGTACTGCACCTCCAAGATCTCCTTCTCCCGTCTCAGATAATTGTTGAGTTCCCGAAGACCGTCGGCTGCACCGTCGCTGCTAGTTTCCGCGCTATCGTTGCCGTCCCCGGCCGCCGCATTGCGACCCTCCTTGAGCGCAGAGAATTGCTTCGTGATGCTCTCCAGCTGCTCGTGCAGAAGCTTGTTCTGTGCGTTGACATCATCGCGGCGAGCCTTGATTTCTGACATTTCCTGCTCGATTCGCTGTTTCCTCTCTTCCCAGGAACTTTCACTTTGAGACAGGGCAACTTTGGCCGACTCCGCCTCGGCTCTCAGAGTCGCCGTCTGGCTCTTGAGCTCGTTGTACTCGGTGCGCAACTGTTGAACGAGCTTCGCAGCCTCGGCGTGCTTGACAAGTTCGTGTTCGTAGTCCTGTTGAGCCTTGGCGGTGATCTCTGACTGAGCACGAAGGTCCTGTTGGTGGAACTTGGCGGCTTCTGAGTGGCGGTCCGCTTCTTCCTTCAAACGCTTCACTTCCTCGTCTAGAATCGTCTTCTCATCCTCGTACTTGCGGGCAACTTCGGCTTGGGAGTCGCGGAGGTGGGACAGTTCCTTGTTGGAGCTAGCGAGTTCCGATGACAGATCTTCAACACGCTGCTCCAACTCCTTAATCTTGGCGTCCTTGGCCGCGAACGCAGCATCCATCTCCTCCCTGAATTGCTCTGTGGTGGTTGTGAATTCGGTAAGAGCTTCTTCATTTTGTTCGCTGAGTTGCTTGTATTGCTCTGTCTGTTCCCTGGCATTCTCGAGGTGAGACTTAGCGATGTCAAGCTCCCTCTTGAGGTCGGAAACCTCATTGATTAACTCGCGAACCTCGGCCTCGCTGTCTTGGTCAGTCTGGGTAGGAGGTGCCATCGTGCCGGGCCTTGGCGTTGGCCGGGGCGCCAGGCGACCAGCTCTGTCTTCCGCATTGCGAAGTTCGATGGTGAGCTCATCAACGCGAGCTTGCAGGTGGTCGCGGCTGGTCTTAACAGCGACGTGCTCCTCGCGAATCTGGCTCAGACTGGTAGAGAGCTCATCGATGCGCTTCTGGGCTTCGCGAGCATCGAACTCCTTCCTGAGCTGAAGCTTCTTGCCTTCTTCCATTTCATCAGACAGCTTGCGCTTCGTGCTGTTCAGCTCTTGTTCAAGATTTTCGATCTTGGACTGAGCTTT